GTAAGAACATCTTTATTCAGAGAGACATGAACACACAGGTTATGCTCTCTGAGAGAGAGAAAAATATTCCGTTTATACTTTAGAGACACACAAACACAAACACACCACACTGCGCTGAGAAAACACCGTTTATACTCGGATCTGTCAGACACAGAGAGAAAGAGACGACACAGACTCAGTCTCTCTGTATCCGGGCCGCAGGGCGCGGTCACTACCGTTACAGTCAGGGAGGTGACAGCGCCTCTAGTGGCGGCTGGTGAAAACCCAACAACGGTGCTGCGTTCAGGGCAACTCGGAACTAGGAAATGTTTGACTTCCAACTACAAAAAGTACCATGGAACGAACTCAGAGAAAGAAACACGTGTTCTGTACTTGTTCTGCATGCAAATTTATGTAGAAATGTTTTTCCAGTGTCATTAGTCAGCTGGTTACAGTAAAGTATGTCTGTCTGAAAATCATTTTCTTCAAGAGTTATTCAGTAAAATGTTGAACGCCAAAACGTGTGAAAACATTAGGAATTTAAAATCCACATTTCCTGCCTTTTGACCACTTCAGTCTCTTGTTTTCATTGAAACAGTCATTTTAATCAACACCAGGTCAGTGCTGAGGGAGCAGCTGGGTGTAGGCCTACACTTGACAAAGAGTCTGTCAGCCGTGTGTTCACTTTCAGCATCAGGCGCCACCGCGAGCGCTTTGAAGCTGAAAGTCAGATATTTCTGAAACGCTGCATGATTTCCACTGCTCCTTCATGACCTCAGCTCTCAGTCACTTCCTCACGTTCAGCCTCGTGTGGCTGGTTTCCTGCTGGGGAAGTGGGCGGGGTTGGATTGACACTGTGAGGAAGTAAGAAAAGCTGCTGGCTGTAAATGAACATCAGCTGTGTTTTTAAAGCTTGGTAACAGCTGATTATCAGAGCAAAACGGTTTCATAGAACTTATTAATCAACAGTCAGTTTGTCTTCTGTCACTTCCACCTTCTGTTCCTCCACCATGAGGTCCTGTTCCTGAAATGCTAAATGTTTCCATCACCATTCTTCTGAAACCACATCTTTATCACTCCTTTTTTTAAAATCTTATTTATTTCTATCACCTCAGTAGTTATGAATGTTTCAGTCACTTCTTGTGAGTGACAGGAAGCTCAGTGTGATTAAAGTCCTGCAGTTTTTTTCAGCTTTGAGGGAGAAGAACTGTTCAAACATCATTTATTCATCAGAGGTAGTAAATAAATCTTTAGTTCCCAGCATTTAGTTTCAGGGGGACAACATTTTTCAAACTGGGCCCCTCATCGACACCCACTCCAGCACCACCTCCACTTAGCCTAAGTAGTAATCAAAACATGGGCATTTTCAGAGAAGCTGTTGGCCATCAGCCTTACAGGGAAACAGATGGACAACCATTTCTAAATTCAGTTCTGTAGACTCATCCAGGCCATGATAACATATTTAGTTACTCTGTATGATTGTAAAGCACAAAATGTCAATACAATTTGTTTTTTTTATTAGACTATGACCGTTATGTTCCTCTTTTTAACTTAAAACAAGAGAGGAAAATGCCCTTCATGCTTCAGTGATCAGAGAAAAGTAAAATCAAAATTTGACTGCAAAGCAACAGAGTTTAAGGTGAAACGATGACCATAATGATATAAACAGAGGCTTTGGTATGTACAGCTTATTGTGTTGTAACTGGGTCATTTTTTATAGGGTGCCATTTGGACTTCATAACTTTGGATAAATAAATAGTTGATTTCCCTATATTTTGAAGTTCTATCATCTATCTTTATTGTATTAAATATAGATATATTAACAACACGTGACACGCAGGAAATGTGCACCTTGTTAAGGACTTAGACTTAACTGTTAAAAAGTGTTTTCAGGGTGTGATTGCTACTAAAATTACACTTTTATAGAAATCATATGTCCCTAACTTTTATTATACATTTGTTTTACAATCAAATCCTTTTTTAAACAGCATAGGGAGGCCTATGTAGAGTAAAACGAGCATGCATAATGAAAAGGGGACGTATTTTTGCACTTTCTTTTTCAAGAAAACTGAATTTTGGTTTTGGTGTCCGCGGTGTCTGTTCCATATCTTTATGTAAATACAAATATACACTTAATATGTGGTAATTTCAATAAATTATGAAGGAAAAATACCAACATAATAGGGTGGAGAGAGGTCTATCAGCATAACAGGGTGGATAAAACACCAGTGTATATACTATATGTCCACCCTGTTAGTTTTTTAACAAGGTGGACACTAACAGGGTGGACATTTAGAGCTAACGTTAGCCTTTTACCTGCCTGTGTGAGCATGATGGCTAACATGACCTTTAATTCTAGATGAGGAATATATAATTTTTCCCAAACAGTTTTTGAAATTATTTAATTTGATTGATTCTTAATATTTTTGGACAAAAGCTAACAATTTTGCTAAAACAACATTTGATTAAATAGATTTTCAATGAGATAATAATGACCTATTTAGAAATAATAATGACCTATTTAGAAATCCATATGTTTTTATAAGTAATTTTTTAGATCTAAGTTGAATGATCAACACTGGGGACATGGCAAAATCACATAGTACCTCTTAAACCATCCATCCATCCATCGTCAACCGCTTATCCTGCGTACAGGGTCGCGCGGGGGGGGGGGGGGGGGGGCGGCTGGAGCCAATCCCAGCTGACATCGGGCGAAAGGCGGGGACAGGTCCCGGACAGGTCCCCTTAAACCAAAGCTTTTAAAATGTAAATAAAACAACATTGAAGCCAGTCTCATTGTGTCATAATTAATAACAATTAACCTTAAATAAAAAAACAAATGGAAGTAGTATTTGTCCACATTTAGACAAAATACAACATGATTTGTACCTGGGATGCAAAAGGCACCACAAAAAAAAATCTTTTCATTTGACAACACTGAAGAAATGACACTCTCCTACAATGTAAAGTAGCGAGCGTACAGCTTGTGTAACAGTGTAAAGTAGTGAGCGTATTACAGCGTAAAGTAGTGAGCGTACAGCTTGTATAACAGTGTAAAGTAGCGAGCATATAACAGTGTAAAGTAGCGAGCGTATTACAGTGTAAAGTAGCGAGCGTATTACAGTGTAAAGTAGCGAGCGTATTACAGTGTAAAGTAGCGAGCGTATTACAGTGTAAAGTAGCGAGCGTATTACAGTGTAAAGTAGCGAGCGTATTACAGTGTAAAGTAGCGAGCGTTCAGCTTGTATAACAGTGTAAAGTAGCGAGCGTGCAGCTTGTATAACAGTGTAAAGTAGCGAGCGTATTACAGTGTAAAGTAGCGAGCGTGCAGCTTGTATAACAGTGTAAAGTAGCGAGCGTATTACAGTGTAAAGTAGCGAGCGTATTACAGTGTAAAGTAGCGAGCGTAGAACAGTGTAAAGTAGCGAGCGTATTACAGTGTAAAGTAGCGAGCGTGCAGCTTGTATAACAGTGTAAAGTAGCGAGCGTATTACAGTGTAAAGTAGCGAGCGTATTACAGTGTAAAGTAGCGAGCGTATTACAGTGTAAAGTATTACAGTGTAAAGTAGCGAGCGTATTACAGTGTAAAGTAGCGAGCGTATTACAGTGTAAAGTAGCGAGCGTAGAACAGCGTAGAACAGCGTAAAGTAGTGAGCGTAGAACAGCGTAAAGTAGCGAGCGTGCAGCTTGTAGAACAGCGTAAAGTAGCGAGCGTGCAGCTTGTAGAACAGTGTAAAGTAGCGAGCATATAACAGTGTAAAATAGTGAGCGTGCAGCTTGTAGAACAGCGTAAAGTAGTGAGCGTATAACAGTGTAAAGTAGTGAGCGTGCAGCTTGTATAATATTTTGCAGATGAAGTACAAATGACACATTTGTGTGCACAGTGGCAAAGCAGTATCCAAAAAAAATATATATACACACACACACACACACACACACACAGGGGTTGACATACATTTTTTTGCTCGCTAGCCAATGTGACTAGTGGTTTTTCAAAGACAATGACACGCTTAAATTGGCGTGCTAAAATGTATTATTATCATTAGCTCTGATAAGGTTGTGTGTAAAGCTCCTTTTTTTTGAAAAAATAGTCTATTAAGATAAACATATTAAAAGAGCAGCTTCTTATTGTATGTAATAAAAGTGCTGAATGGGTGTAAAGATTAACTGAAAACATAAACCATAAACAAAATTCACCAGTTAACTGCAGATATGAATTGAGTATCCAGGTATTTATTTCCCAGAGTATTCATCTACAAACCTTCTGCTATCATACATGGCATGACAACTTTTTATTAAAACATAGAATCAATTCTGGAAAGGTAGTTGTGGTATTAGGGCAGTCCTGCTAGTAGCCTCTGTGTTGTTTTCTTTTATAAACACCAGCATGTTCCTTAATCATGAAGATATCTTTTTTTTTTTACAGCATTTAACGGCACTTTCCTCCTGCTTTTCTTCTCTGCTTTTCGCCTCTGCTCTGCCTTTTCTCTTTCCTTCGTTCTGCTGTGCATTTCTTCTCCACACTGCTCGGCTATGCACACTCATGTACTGACTGAACGCTGTATTTGTGCATGAAACCAGTCGCGTGTGATGACAGAGATCATACATCAAGTAAAAGCGACTGCTGACTGTCTACAGGTCTGAAGGGCTGTGGCTGATCTGTGACAGATTCAACTTTATATATTCTGTTTACATGTCATAGGCTATTTGACGTGCGCACTCACCTGCTATTAAAAAAACTTGCTTTGTCATCATTGCCGCTGGTTAGGTGGATAATTAACGGCAGGCCAGACTAGTCCGACGGCCAGTCTGCACGTTTAAGTTCCACAACGTCTTCTTATCCAACAAAGGTTAAAATCAAGGGCAACTGGACTTGGTTGAAGATACTGGAAGACGTTTCGTCCCTCATCCAAAGGACTTCTTCAGTTCTGACTGACTGGCAGGGAAGCTCAGCTATTTAACCTCAGTGGGGTCGTTGGCCCGGGTCATCGATACCGCTGGTTCGTTAGTGTTCCTTGTTG